TCAAAATCACATCCATTCATTCCTGCGCTCATCATCGTAATTATACCAAATTAAGATTGATCAGATTCATCAAATTAAAATTAATCAGGTTCATCAAATTAAAATTAATCAGGTTCATCAGGTATCGACAGCTTAATTAATTTCCACAATTTCATATGTCTCTTAGGCTTCATAAGTTTCTTATGTTTCTTAATTTTCTTAATTTTCATAGGTTCATTTAGTTCCTTCTTTATCTGTTGCTCAATCACGGGTTATTGTATTTGTTTTTATTATTATTTTTAGTTAGTATTTTATTCTTGATCTACTTGTTATTCAAAGTTTTACATAAAAATTTTAATAAACATATGTATTAATGAATTAGAATTTATAATAAAAAATATTCTACTCATTACCTTGTATTATATCAGTTTCATTTTTATTATTAATTTTAATTCATTTTGACTTTGAAGTATTTGAAAAGAAAATTATGAAAAATGTATTTGAATCATATTGAATGTGAAAATCTATTTTGAGAATAATCATAAAAAAACCTAACAAATATTTAATAATATTGATTGAAATAATTTTTTTCAAATCTGAGAAAACAATATAATAATTATATTATAATTTAATTATTAAAAATCAAGATCTAATTCTCTAAGAAAGATTTTGATTATCTTTGGGTATATTACTTTGAAATTTTCTCATGTATTTTTTAATTACAATTTTTGTTTATTCTTGATTATTTCTATTTGGATATCCATTAGGTTTAAGAAAATTTTATTTGTATTTGCCATCTATCATTCATCCATTTTTTATTTAATAATAATAATAATCATAATACACACACACCCATCATTTATTCTGTTCATTAATCCATTACTAAATGTTTTTTCTTTTTTTTAAATCTATATTAATCTGCTTCTTCTAAAATTCTTATCATATTATTTTAAAACTAATATAGACTCTATATATTTTATTTTTCACTTATTATTGACTCAAATCCCCCTCTTAAATCAAAATTATATTCGCTTTTAATATGTGAATCATTCATTAACTATTAATGTTATTTACAATTTCTGATAGGTAAAAGAAACAATACTTATTTCGTTTAGTAAATTCATAATTCCTTAAAACTTAATTTTTTGATATTAAATTTTATTTTAAAACTCTTCAGTACTTTACTTATAATAATTTGACCTTTAATTTAACTAAATTTCAGTTTTTTTATAAGATTAATCTATAATTTCAGTAAATTATCCAATAATCAATTCGAAAAAAAAATAATATGGAGTAATTTTAGGTTATGAAAGCCACATCTTAATACTTCTTTTCCATAACTGTTTTATTTAAATTTAAATTGGCTTCTTTTATAATTAAAAAATAGATCATATATATTAAAAGTAAATTCTCATCTACAAAGACCAAAGAAGAATTCTATTACCAATTCTCATATCTTGTAATAATTTAAGAAAACCTTTTCTAAGATAATTAATCTTTTTTCTATAGTTTCAATGTGATTTTTTATTTCTCCTTAAGAGTTTATTTCAACTGTTAAATATTTTTTAAGATTTGATTATTTATATTCCCATAATATCCTTATTTACTTAAAAGTCTTTTTTTTTTTACTTTATTTACATAATGGCACATTTATTAATATCTAAAATCAATTCTAATCTTTAACTTACTTTCTTGAACCGTAAAATTATTTTTTCAATATTCTTGTTTGATAAATAATAGTTAAATCATCATCATAAAAAAATACCTTAAGAAAAGCTATATTTCTTTCCATGATTAACTATATATTGATGTGATATAAGTGCTTTTAAAAAGTTAATATCAATTTATGGTAATATTTATTTCTTATATATATAGTTAAATAACAATTCTAAATTTGCAGTATTATATGCTGATTTGATAAGTATTCATTCCGTTTATAAATCCTACTTACTATCTGAATAATATTAGCAATAATTACTCAATTAATTTAAAAATCGAAGTTTTAGCCATTTACATAAAGGGCTTTGAATTGTAAGCATTACTAATTACTTTCTAATAAAAATCTTAAAAATTCTAACTTATGCTAAACTACATATTTAATAGATATACTGCTCCTTTATTTATTTTAAACTCAAATTTTTTTTTTAATATATTATTTATACGGAATAGTTAATTTGCTAATAATCATATGATGGTCTGATAAATTTTAAATAAATTCTTGGTTAATTATATAATATCTTTCTATCATAGAAATATCGGTTATAGATTTTATAATTTAATTACCTCTTTTTCTAATAAAAGTGTATTAATTTTAAGGTATAATCTCTTATAATTCTTAAATACTATTTGCTTTATTATAATAACTATTATCCTGATGATAAAGGTGAATAGAGATTAAGTAATATCAATTCTAAATTCTTCCAAATACATTAAATAAGTTAATATTCTAGATTTATTAGTTCTAAACAATTAGATATATATCTAATTATAAATTATTTATGAACACCTACAGCTAATTCTCCTCCTTAACTATTTGATTTTCTTAACTAATTTATTAAATTATACTAGGGGCTAGAATTAACTTAATCTCGAATAACTTATAAACATATAATATGGGAACAATATTATTTTATAGCAACTAATGTATTTAATTTTAATGAACTAACATTTCAGTTAATCATTATTAATTATTCGCTAGATTAATGAGAATTTATATTTGCAGTTTATTAAAACTATTTGTTATTTGTTTTTGTGTATTTAGTTTATTATTATTGTTTTAACGGGTATTTAAATAAGCATTCATTTTCAATTCCTCGCATTAATAAGACCAGATTTAGTATATTTATTTTATTTTTGCGTATTTCCTTTATGTTTTTGGTAAATAAGTTATTTATAGGACTATATATTTTATTAGTTCCATCAAATGGAAATAACATATCTTAATTAAAAGAGGAAATTGTATTAAATAGTACACATTCTAAAATATCATTTTTTTTTAATTTAAAAAATGGTAAAATTATATTAGTTAAGTATATTAAAAAATATTTTTGAATATCTTAATTCTTGTGGTATGAATCAAAAATTATGCTCTAAAAATAACAATTAACTAATTTTTTAGAATTAACAATAATGATAGGTATGAATGAGACTAAAGAACTATAGATATAATGTTCTATTGAAGAACATGATTGTATCGTGTAATTTACATGCTTTAATCAAGCATGCAAAGAAAATAGAATTTATTGTTTCGATTTTCCTCATACAAAAGATCAATATGATTTAAATAAATTTATTGAATTTTCTGATCAAATTCAGGAAAGATTGTGAAGATTTAATAGAAAGATTATGTTTGGAAATAGGAAATATTAAAAAAATATTAATTTAACTTAATTAAGGATTGAAGATTAAATATCAATTATAAAAATAAAGAATTTTTAACTTGGATGCAAAGTAATTGAATTAAACTTTTGACGAAATGATTAAATAATGAAACTTAAATTTTACTAGATGATGTAAAATAATGTTCGAATGACATGATAATTTAATAAAAAAATAAACTATAGAATTGAAACTTTTTTTTAATATAATTGATAGATCCACTTTAAATTATTTATTAACTATAGAGTAATTATATTATAATTAATTAACCTAGTAAGAATCAAACTAAGCAGAATAATTATTTTAAACATATTACAAATATTTAATTAGGATTTCAATTATATTAGTATGATGAAAAAAATGAATAAGCAATACAATTAATTGATAATGCATTACTAATTAATCCTAGTCATTAATTGTTATTATATACGAAAGGTATAAAAGCTATAGATAAATATATTAGCTGACAGTCTAAGTTTAATTATTTTTAAACTTTTAAATGTAAGAATGCTTAATCATTACCGAGAAGCAATAATATGGACAGATAAAGCCTTGAGAGTAGATTCAACGCATGTTGACTCATTATATACAAATAATAAATAAATAGTTCAGCTTCCAGTTTGAAATTATTTAATAATATAAATTTTGAATATATGTATGATCAATTAATATAAAGAAGCAATAATAGGCAAATTAAGCTTTATCAATTGATTCATCACATTTAGACTTTTTAAACACAAAAGGTATAAATATTATTGATAAATTTACAAGCTGAAAGTTTAAAGTAATTTCATATCAGAATGATTGACGAATATGAAGAAGCAATTAAATGGGCTGATAAAGATTTATCAATAAAATCATGGCATGTCAGTTTATTACATACAAAACGCATACAAATAATCAATAATTATTTAGCCGATAGTTCAAAGTAATTTAATCATAAACTATTTGATTATAAAAATGCTTGATGATTATAAACAGCAATTATATGGGCAGATTAAGCTTTGTCAGTAGATTCTAAAAATGTTTACTCATTACACACAAAAGGTGATTATTGATTCCTTTCTATAGGTGAATCATTATGTTCTTTTAGCATTAGTCAAATATAAGAATGTTAGGAAATTTTGCTAAAGCACTTTAGATTGTAGACAAAAATTGAACATATATCCGAACTCTGAGTTATCCTTAGCCTCTAAAGGTTTATCATATATTAATTACATAGGAGCTTGCTTAAATTCACATTTTTTTTTTTTCTACAAGAATTGTCAAAATATAAGGAGTCTCTGATTTATTGTAATAAGCTATTAGATTAAATCCAAATTATTTATGGCCATTAACAAGAAAAGTAGATATTTTCAGTTTTATTGAATTAAATAATAATATCTACAATTCAAACTTAAAATTCCTTCTGATTAAAAATATTTCTTAATCAACTAATTTCGAAAAATAGATCTAAAAAAGAAAATTTATGAAATTAATAATTTTGTTGAAAATGAGATACGAAAACTTAAACAATTGTATCAAATCATTTCAATGATATCATTAATCGCTATTTTCTTTGGCTATAATGAAGATTTTTCTTCATTTTCAAAATCTTAATCATTTATTTTAGTATTTTAACTTGGCATACATATACATCTACCTATGTAATTGTCCAAGATTAAAGAGATCACACTATCATAAATTGTTATTCAGATAATCATTTGTTTTGTAAAATAAGAACAATGACTAATCTAATAATAAAAATAATAAAATGTATTTACTTAAAAAAAAATAGATTTGCTTGTTCTTGAACTCTTCTGTGGCAACCTATTACTATCTAGTTTTTCAAGAAAATCATTATATATGAATTTGATTTACTATTAACGAAGAAATAACAAGAACTATCGTTTGAGAATTTATAATTTAGACCCAATTTGAAATTTCCTATAGGACTTTATGCAAACCTATAAATTTAGTTAAGTACAAACCCTTTTATTAATCTACCTCTATTATTTTATTTTTATCAGGATCATCAAATACACACATCATCACTCTAGAGTCTCAAAATTTGCTGAACAAATCATCATAATAAGCAAAAATTACTATGATTGATTCTTTGGTTATTTTAATATGAAATGATAGGCTGAATTAAATATTTTCAATGAATATATCTATTATTATAATCAAGTGTCAATTTGTTTGATATCTATGAGTTTGACTTAACTCTTTTCTTCATTGTATAGTACTTAAAATACTTAACAATCAATAGTTGATATTATAATTATTAATTCTTAATACGCCAAAATTGTTGGGAATAATTTAATTGAGAAGTTAATTGTATTGATAGCCCCGTAGCAATTATGCTAAAACTAGTGTTATTAATTTTGCAAGCATCCGTTGCATTTATTTAAGTAACTTTTAATAGATTTATTTGTAAAGCATTTTGCATAAATCTTTATGTTTATTAACTAATAACTTTTATCAAGAATTATTTAAAATGTATCTTAAGTATTGAATAATTAAGAAGTTTCCAAAATTTCAACTTCAAAAGAATTTCTGAAAACTGCTTGTCTTTCTTTTATTTATGTAATTCTTAAAGTTCTACATTCTAATGCTGTGTATATGGTTGTAAATGAATACTTGAGCCATGCTGGCTAATGGCTTTGTGGTGCATAATACTGCCAATGGGTCCCAGCTAAAATCATATGAATCAATTGTACCTACAAATGAATTAAGCTGATACCAAATAGCCTATTGATCTGAATAATGAGTTAAATTAAGTCTAATGTTAGCTGTTACATCATAAGAAAACCCAATGAAAGGTGTAATCAACCAAGAAGAATCCTGAAAATTATAATGAGGACTTGTATAGGCAGCAGTTGTATAGATCGAACTAAAATTTGAAATAGCTTCTTTGACTCCTAAAATTACTTAATAACCCAAAACAAGTAGATTTTTTAAGCCATCGTTTGGATTCGTTATTACAACAGATACATTTTTTCTTGTTAATTCAGAGATCTAAGTAGATATCTCTTAATAAATACCTCGATATTGAACTTAATAGAACCCTTATAGGATAAATTAATCAAAGAGATAATCGCCTCTTCGACATTAGGGTTGATGTGAGAATAAGTTTTATTCTCTAATGAAATCATGTTAAACTCATTTATAACTTAAATTCTTTCATCATCCATTGCTTACCATCTAATTACAATACCATGGACTACTGAATAATCGCACTTTTAATGCAGTATAAAATCTAATACTTTGATAAATAATACAATCTGTTGTAACAGTCATAATCTGAAGTGTGAAATTTAGATATGGATGTTACAAGTCGAACATTTGAGTTTATAAAATTATTTTTGGAGGTCTTGCAAATATGTCAGAAAAATAGACTGTTTTTTATCGTTGTTAAGGTGATATGCATTTACTTCCTCCACTATACTAATAAGCAAAAGAAGTAATAGTATTGGAATCATATGTAATGATTCCGTACACAATGTGAATTATTAAATATACCTTCATAAAATTAAAATATCATTTTTTGTATTAAATTGGATGCATATTCTTAAAGAAACCAAAAGTAAGGAGATAGTTTTTATAAAAATCAATAGATGATTAATAAAAACAATTAGCTACCTAANGCTTGTTCTTGAACTCTTCTGTGGCAACCTATTACTATCTAGTTTTTCAAGAAAATCATTATATATGAATTTGATTTACTATTAACGAAGAAATAACAAGAACTATCGTTTGAGAATTTATAATTTAGACCCAATTTGAAATTTCCTATAGGACTTTATGCAAACCTATAAATTTAGTTTATAATAAACACTTTTATTAATCTACCTCTATAATTTTATTTTAATCAGGATCATCAAATGCACACATCATAACTCTTGAGACTCAAAATTTGCTCAACAAATCAACATAATAAGCAAAAATTACTATTATTGATCCTCTGCTTATTTTAATATGAAATGATAGGCTAAATTAAATATTTTCAATGATTTTATATATTATCATAATCAAGTGTCAATTTGTTTGATATCTATGAGTTAGACTTAACTCTTCTCTTAATTGTATAGTACTTAAAATACTTAACAATCAAGATTTTATATTATAATTATCAATTCTTAATGCGCCAAAATTGTTGGGAATAATTTAATTGAGAAGTTAATTGTATTGATAGCCCCGTAGCAATTATGCTAAAACTAGTGTTATTAATTTTGTAAACATCCGTTGCATTTATTTAAGTAACTTTTAATAGATTTATTTTTAAAGCATTTTGCATAAATCTTTATGTTTATTAACTAATAACTTTTATCAAGAATTATTTAAAATGTATCTTAAGTATTGAATAATTAGTAAGTTTCCAAAATTTCAACCTCAAAAGAATTTCTGAAAACTGCTTGTTTTTCTTTTATTTATGTAATTCTTAAAGTTCTACATTCTAATGCTGTGTATATGGTTGTAAATGAATACTTGAGCCATGCTGGCTAATGGCTTTGTGGAGTATAATACTGCCAATGAGTCCCAGCTAAAATCATATGAATCAATTGTACCTACAAATGAATTAAGCTGATACCATATTGCCTATTGATCTGTATAATGAGTTAAATTTAGTCTAATGTTAGCTGTTAAATCATAAGAAAATCCAATGAAAGGTGTAATCAACCAAGAAGAATCCTGAAAATTATAATGAGGACTTGTATAGGCAGCAGTTGTATAGATCGAACTAAAATTTGAAATAGCTTCTTTGACTCCTAAAATTACTTAATAACCCAAAACAAGTAGATTTTTTAAGCCATCGTTTGGATTCGTTATTACAACAGATACATTTTTTCTTGTTAATTCAGAGATCTAAGTAGATATCTCTTAATAAATACCTCGATATTGAACTTAATAGAACCCTTATAGGATAAATTAATCAAAGAGATAATCGCCTCTTCGACATTAGGGTTGATGTGAGAATAAGTTTTATTCTCTAATGAAATCATGTTAAACTCATTTATAACTTAAATTCTTTCATCATCCATTGCTTACCATCTAATTACAATACCATGGACTACTGAATAATCGCACTTTTAATGCAGTATAAAATCTAATACTTTGATAAATAATACAATCTGTTGTAACAGTCATAATCTGAAGTGTGAAATTTAGATATGGATGTTACAAGTCGAACATTTGAGTTTATAAAATTATTTTTGGAGGTCTTGCAAATATGTCAGAAAAATAGACTGTTTTTTATCGTTGTTAAGGTGATATGCATTTACTTCCTCCACTATACTAATAAGCAAAAGAAGTAATAGTATTGGAATCATATGTAATGATTCCGTACACAATGTGAATTATTAAATATACCTTCATAAAATTAAAATATCATTTTTTGTATTAAATTGGATGCATATTCTTAAAGAAACCAAAAGTAAGGAGATAGTTTTTATAAAAATCAATAGATGATTAATAAAAACAATTAGCTACCTAACTTTAATATGATCACATCCTTACAGAATATCTGCATTTCTTCTTTGTGACAGTGACTCAATGTTATAAGAAAAATTCTTATATGAATGATATCTTAGTGTTTTCTAAAGTTCAATAATATGAATATCAATGATGCCAAAATTATAGGAGTAATTCTAGTTTTCTAAATCTACTTCAGGTGAAAAAGTTGAAAACTTCACATTTTTTAAATAAAAAAAATATTATCATTTAAACATCATAAAAAATTAAATATTTAATCTTCAAAATTTGGGGTTAAAAATAAAAAGAAATAAATAAGATGATAACAGTATTGCAAATCAATATAACCGTTTGCATTAGAGATTTTTCTTGATGGTCAATTTGAAGTGTTACTAAAAAGACAGGAAAATAATAGAGATATGTTTTCCAAAATTATTTCATTTTTGAAAATATAGTTGTATTAAAAGGCAATTCATATCATAGTGAATTTTTCTATTGTTTTTTTAAACAATTCAAATCTAAGCATAAAAGTATCTTTTTTTTGTTTGAAATTCTGTC